CAAAAGAGTCCAGCTGGAGCTTTAGGAATGTGCTAATGTGTTATCTTTAGCACAATGTTAACCTTGCAACCTAACCTTACCACAAAGGTTTCTGATAACTCATGGGCCACCAAGAGGGCAGTAGCTTGAAGAGGGTGTGGAGGGGGCAGTTCATTGCCAATTGCAAAATACATTTGTGCTGATCATTCAGAGGACCTTCATTTCATCATCACCTCTGGTCACTGCCTTTATGACACCATTGTCTATATTAGCTGCTGGAAATACCCTATATGATATAATCCCGTTCATTTTGAGTGAAGCTGTTTCCAACTATTCTGACAACAGTGTCTGCATGCATAGTATTAGTTGTATGAAGATTTTGTTTAGAGCCTATTTTGTGTTCAGTGCTATTTACTACTGTGCTACCCTTTAGTTCAATGCGTCTCATGAATTCTTACCCTTTAAAGTAGTGCTTCTTCAGTATCAGAAATATGTGAAATGTGATTAAGGGAGATTGAAGTAGTCCTCATCTTCAGTAGCTGATGAATCCTTTGCAGGCTAAACTTTTTACTTGTTGGAGGGAGATCTTATCTGACTAATTTAACTGAGATTTTTGAAAAGATAGTTGTGACATGTTTGCATAAACTTCAGTAAGGCCTTTGTCAAGGTCCCATATGGAAGGCTAATGCGGCAGGAAAGAGTCTATTGGATCCAAGGCAAATTGGCAAACTGGATCCAAAACTGGCTTAAAAATAGGAGGCGAAGATGGAGGGTTGTTTTGTAATTGGAAGCTTGTGACCAGCTGTGTACCACTGGGATCAGCGCAGGGACTTTTGCTGTTGATTATTTACATTAACGACTTGGATCTGAATGTAAAAAGTATAATTATTATGTTTGCAGATGACATGAAACTTAGTGATATTGTTGATGCTAAGGGGATGGTCTCAGGCTGCAGTTTGATATAAATCAGCTGGTAAACTGGGCAGAGCAATGGCAGATGGAATTTAATCCTGAAACGTGCAAGATGATTCGTTTTTGGAGGTCCCTAGGGAGACCTGAGGAACAAAGGGACATTGGTATATAAATCCATAGATCTCTGAAGGTGTCAGCACAGGTAGACAGGGTGGTGAAGAAGACTTACAGGATGTTTGCCTTCATTAGCCGTGGTGTAGAATATAGGAGCAAGGAAGTTTTGTTGCAACTTTGTAAAACATTGGTTAGGCCACGGATGGAATACTATGTGCAGTTCTGGTCACCACACTACTGGAAGGACCTGATTGCACTGGAGAATGTGCAGAGGAGATTCATCAGGATGTTTCTTGGAATGGAAAGCCTCAGTTATGAGGAGAAACTGGATAGGCTATGTTTGCTTTCCTTGGGGCATAGGATGTTGAGGGGGGAATCTGATGAGGTATATAAAATAATGAGAGTTGTAGACAGAGTAAATCTTGAGAATTTCTTCCCTATGACACATGTGTCTAGAACCTGAGGGTATAATTTTAAGGTGAGGAGCAAGTGATTTAGAGGAGATCTTACAAAGAATTTTTTCGCCCAGAAGGTGGGAGAAATGTGGAACGTGCTTTCTGAAAGGGTGGTGGAGGAAGATACTCTTGTGACATTTAAGAAGCATCTGGATGAGTACTTAAAATGCCAGGGCATAGTAAGATATGGACCCAGTGCAGGTAAATGGGATTAGTATAGTTTGATACAAAAACAAAGTTGCTGGAAAAGCTCAGCAGGTCTGGCAGCATCTGTGAAGAGAAAAACAGAGTTAACATTTTGGATCTGGTGACTTGATTTACAGCATCCGCAGTTCTTTCGGTTTTTATTTAGTATAGTTTGAAGTTTGGTAGGCATAGACATGGTGGGCCGAACGGCCTTTTTCTATGCTGTGTGACTTTATGACTATGACTCTCTGACTTGAAGCATTAACCCTGTTTCTATTTCCACAAATGCTGCCAAGTTTCTCCAGCCTTTTGTTTTTACTTCAGATTTCTAGGATCTATGGTGTTTTGCTTTTATTAACATGAGAGAAACATTATTTGCAAATTTTAGACCCACATGAAATGACATATTGTTTGCAAATTAGAGATCCAGGACCACCATGTGAGCACATTCCTGCCATAATGCTTGTGTTAGGCACCTACTCAGTGATATATGGGAAAGTAGACTTAATAGTATCAATGAGATTGGCAAAACTCTGAGAGTTACTTATATGGAGCTGGTGATCCGAAGAATCAGCCATTTCATTGTTGCTCCAGGGCAATATGTTAACTATTTGAGGAAATGTAGGCCTCTGTTAGGATCTCTGTTATGGAGGCCTTGCTGGTAGGAGGAGGGTATGTGAGGACTGTTGGGAGATTGGATTTTCAGTGGTAGCCTGACAGTTTTCACAATTGAGGCTGTGTTGTTTGAAGATAAATTTATCAATTTTGTCTTTCCATTTGAGAGGCCACAAGCATTGAATCAGAGGTAATGCAATACTCCTGCTCTGAGACTGAGTGATCAGTAAACTTAAACATTTATGTGTTTTCTCTATTGTCTTGGGGGAGCATGTTATATTAGAAAAATAGAGCACTGCTTCACCATGTCAGTCAGAATCAGCATTTTCAAGTGATTTCTGCCGACGTAGTGATTCGGTATGATCTCTACTTTTCACATCAGTGACTTCCTTATTTTTTATGTGTTTTTTCATATTTCCATGAATTAGTTTGCAGCTAATATTTAATTGTAGCACCAATAAGATGTGGGGAATTATCAGACTGAACTCACTTAGGACTTTTGTAGCTAGCAAATAAAAGAAGACTTTCATTCAGTTGGTTTGGGTAACATTGAAACTATAGGCATGATATATGCCCCCCTTCGTCCAAGTATGTATGTTGATAGAGGTGGCACATACAATATATATGGGGTCTGGTTCACTGCCTTCTTGCCCATTTCCAACTGTCCCTATAAAACAGTGGGTGCACAAGTTGTCCACAAGGCCAATTGCCTATTGGCCTTTTGAGGCTCTGAATTACCAATTAATTTGACAGTTAAGGACCTCTGTCCACCCTCAATGCCTTAAAATACCGAGCAAGAGATCTTGTGACACAGTTGCAGAGTCCCTGCTTCTGGGTTAGGTGGCCTGGACTCACCAAGTCCCACCTGCTCCAGAAGTGCACAATGACATCTCTGAATGGGTTGATTAAGAAATATCTAGAATATTGGGCACAGCTAGGCCGACCAGAGTATGAAGGCCATCTTTGAAAGGGCCACTTCGAAAAGATGGGAAGAAAATGGGGGTGGAGGGGCACATCAATAGGGGGAGTCCTGTGCACCCCATCAGCATGACCACACCACCCCCCACAATCGCCATGTTGCAAAGCAGCATGTATCTATCCAGTTTGGCATTTATAAAGTATATGCAGTTTGATTAATTGGACTAAAAGGGTAACATGCTGTAACCCTCCATAAGTTGTACCCAAATGCTATTTTGTAAATGTCATTGTTTTCAAAAAATAGTTACTTTAAGTTTACAGAAAAATATTGTTCGGTTAAACTTGCTATTACTGTGTATAAAAATAACTTCACCATTATTTGTGTACAGGCAGTATGCATGTAAGTGCATGACTTTATGAGTTTTCAGGCTAACTATTAAAGAATAGACTCAGAATCAACCTTTAGGTATCAAAAAGTCGATATTATAGATTCATTTTCCATTTAAACATATATAGAACATAGAACATAGAACATTACAGCGCAGTACAGGCCCTTCGGCCCTCGATGTTGCGCCGACCTGTGAAACCTATCTGAAGCCCATCTAACCTAAACTATTCCATTATCATCCATATGTTTATCCAATGACCATTTAAATGCCCTTAAAGTGGGCGAGTCTACTATTTTTGCAGGCAGGGCATTCCACGCCCTTACTACTCTCTGAGTAAAGAACCTACCTCTGACATCTGTCCTATATCTATCACCCCTCAATTTAAAGCTATGTCCCCTCATGCTAGCCATCACCATCCGAGGAAAAAGGCTCCCACTGTCCACCCTATCTAATCCATCTTGTATGTCTCTATCAAGTCACCTCTTAACCTTCTTCTCTCTAACGAAAACAGCCTCAAAACCCTCCGCCTTTCCTCATAAGACCTTCCCTCCATACCAGGCAACATCCTGGTAAATCTCCTCTGCACCCTTTCCAATGCTTCCACATCCTTCCTATAATGCGGTGACCAGAACTGTACGCAATACTCCAAGTGCGGCCGCACCACAGTTTTGTACAGCTGCAACACGACCTCATGGCTCCGAAACTCAATCCCTCTACCAATAAAACCTAACATACTGTACGCCTTCTTAACAACGCTATCAACCTGGGTGGCAACTTTCAGTGATCTATGCACATGGACACCGAGATCTTTCTGCTCATCCACACTACCAAGAATCTTACCATTAGCCCAGTACTCTGTATTCCTGTTACTCCTTCCAAAGTGAATCACCTCACACTTTTCCGCATTAAACTCCATTTGCCACCTCTCAGCCCAGCTCTGCAGCTTATCTATGTCCCTCTGTAACCTACAACATCCTTCTGCACTATCCACAACTCCACCGACTTTGGTGTCATCTGCAAATTTACTAACCCATCCTTCTACGCCCTCATCCAGGTCATTTATAAAAATGACAAACAGCAGTGGCCCCAAAACAGATCCTTGAGGTACACCACTAGTAACTAATATTGCTGCCAATTTTGCCCAACAAAACTCAAAAAAAGTGAAGTATAGGTTTCCCTGGTTTTGCTTTGCTCGATTATGGATGTAATGGTGTTCATCTGCATTATTCTAAATATGCTTTTGGATTTGTTTTTCTAAGGCAGGGATGAAATGATTGGAAAGTTAGCTTCATTGCCAAAAAATAATTGCTACTTGACAATCTGTCGTGATATTTGGAATGCAGCTTCTGTTTCTTGACATATTGAGGGAATCGTGTTATTAAAAGATGTGTTATGCTGTGGTTTTGATGATTTTCTGCTTCACATAATGCAGGCATAAACAACAGGAATGTTATCATGTGGATGGATCACAGAGCAGTTGATCAAGTAGACCGCATAAATCAAACAAAACACCATGTGCTAAAGTATGTGGGTGGAGTAATGTCTCCAGAAATGCAGCCACCTAAACTTCTGTGGTTAAAAGAAGTAAGTCTTTTATCTTTAAACCTCTTTACTACAAATAAGAGGTATTGAAAAGCATCGCTAAGCAGAAAAGAAACTTTCAAGTGTATTTGTTTTTGCATTTTTCTCTTCTTTACAACTTAATTAAAGAAAGATCCCAGGAGAATATGAAATTGAGGTAGTTATTCCATTCCGGCACTATGTAGATTATTGTATAAGTATAATTTTCAGCTAAACATTGAATGGAATAAATCTGGCAAAAAGGCAAATTCGGCAAGAATTTCAAACAGTGAGTTACTTTTGTACGTGTGCTTCACAGAGAATGCTTATGTGACTGATTTGAAGTTAAAATTCTCCAGGCATTATCCTATTGTGTGAGAGAGATAGTAGGAACTGCAGATGCTGGAGAATCCGAGACAACAAGGTGCAGGGCTGGATGAACACAGCAGGCCAAGCAGCATCATAGGAGCAGAGAGGCTGACGTTTCGGGCCTAGACCCTTCATCAGAAAAGGGAGAGGGGAAGGGGGTTTTGAAATAAATAGGGAGAGAGTGGGAGGCGGATAGAAGAGGGATAGAGGAGAGGATAGGTGGAGAGGAAACAAACAGGTCGAAGAGGCGGGGATGGGGCCAGGAAAGGTGAGTGTAGGTAGGGAGTTAGGAAGGGGATAGGTCAGTCCAGGGAGGACGGACAGGTCAAGGGGGCGGGATGAGGTTGGTCGGTAGGAGATGGAGGTGCGGCTTGAGGTGGGAGGAGGGGATAGGTGGGAGGAAGAACAGGTTAGGGAGGCAGGGACGAGTTGGACTGGTTTTGGGATGCGGTGGGGGGAGGGGAGATTTTGAAACTTGTGAAATCCACATTGATACCATTGGGCTGCAGGGTTCCCAAGCGGAATATGAGTTGCTGTTCCTGCAACCTTCGGGTGGCATCGTTGTGGCACTGCAGGAGGCCCAGGATGGACATGTCATCTGAGGAATGGGAGGGGGAGTTGAAATGGTTCGCGACTGGGAGGTGCAGTTGTTTGTTGCGAACCGAGCGTAAGTGTTCTGCAAAGCGGTCCCCGAGTCTCCGCTTGTGTGAGTTGTATAGCTATGTGGCTTCCTATTTAAAATCACTATTGTTATAGTTCCTGCTGAAATCAAACCATTTTCAGTTTGAGAGTGTGCAGCGAGGTTTTACCAGGCTGACTGCGGTACTGATGTATGAGGAGAGATTGACTATGTTAGGATTGTTTTCACTGGAGTTCAGATGAATGAGGGGGGATCTCGTAGAGACTTAACATTCTAATAGGACTAGACAAGGTAGTTGCCGAGAGGATGTTCCCAGCAGTGGGTGTGTCCAGAACCAGGGGTCACAGACTAAGGATTCAGCATAGAACATTTAGGATGGAGATAAGGAGTCATTTCTTCACTCAAATAGTGGTGAGCCTGTGGAATTCGTTACCACAGGAAGCAGTTGATGTCAAAACATTGAATGTTTTCAAGAGACAGCTAGAAATAGCAGTTGGGGCAAATGGGATCAAAGGTTATGAGGAGAAAGCAGGAATAGGCTATTGACTTGGGCAATCAGCCATGATTGTGATGAAAGGCGGAGCAGACTTGAAGGGCTGAATGGCCACCTCCTGCTCCTATCTTCTATGTTTCCAGACATTTGTGTCAAAGCCCAAACTTCACTCCCAAGATAAAAGCTAGGGACAGAAAATCTGACAAAGGTGGGATACCTGATGGGATACAGGTCACTAGGTTTGTTTTCAAATTCCAGGTACTGGAAATTGGCAAAATGGGTTGGTTGAGGACAGAGAATTCCCATAGGGGGAAGTTTCTCAGCCCAAGCCTCTAATACCCAACAATATAGGTATAAGTCTGAACGTTGCTCACAAATCAATGGAGTGGCAGAAGAGAGGCACACTTAGTGATTTAGGCCTAGGTTCTGGCTTCAAATCTACATGGTAAAGCTGATGGATTAACAACTAATCACTCATTTGCAGATGAAGCCAATTGTATAGGAAAGACCATCTTTTAGTCAGTAAATGACCTTCTGGTGTCACTTTTCCTACTGCTTACATTCGGCAAAAGCCCAAGATACCTACATTGTGATGTGGGCACTCAAATGACAGAAAATGTGGCCCTGAACTGGAGTCACTGACACCTGATTATCTCATCATGAAGTGGGATTGAGAATATTGTTCCTATTCCAGACAGTAGGACAGCTGAAAATTCCCAAAACCACTATGATCTCAAACAGAAATTAGTGTAATTAGTCTCAGGAGACTCCATTTTGGTACATTTTTTATAGGTTTATAAATTGTTTAAAAAAAGGTATAAGAGGAGGAGTGGGGCTGATTATGGACCAAAAATAGGATTTACGTTTGAAGGCAAGGGCTGTAGATGAGGTATTAAATTAATACATTTTTTTAAAAGTCTGTCTTTCACAAAGAAAGAAAATACTGGCCAGCTCATGGTGAAAGAGGAGGTCTTTCAGACTCTTGGAAGGTTTAAGGGTGATAGGGAGATAGGCTGTCTGTACATCAAGTTGATAATTGACAAGGACTGGATGATTTGCAGTCAAGGACACTTTTTTTTATTCTTTCTTCGTGGGTATCATTGGCTAGGCCAGCATTCGTTGTCCACCTAAAATGGCCATGGAGGACCTCACGGTGATCAAAGTGAGAGTGGAAATTGCACAGGCAATGGCCATATTTTTCCAGTCAGCCTTAGACTCAGGGCTGGTGCAATTACAACTGTTAGAGCCTTGTTCAGAAAAAGTGGGTAAGGATCAAACCAACCACTATAAACCAGTCAGATTAACTTGAATGTTGGGGAACATTTTAGAATATATAATTGAGAACAAATGCAAGTAAAATAAGGAAGGCCAGCTTGAATTTGTGAATGGAAAAAAAGCAAGTTTCACAAACATCTTGAATTTTTGAATGAGATAATAGAGAAGGTTGATGAGGGCAATGCTGTTGATATGGTGAATATCAATTTCCAAACATCTGATAAAAGATTTTGGGTAAAGTTAGAGCTCATAGAAAAAGAAGGACAGTAACAAAATGAATACAAAATTGCCTCAATGACAGGAAACAAAGAGTAGTAGTGAATTTTGTTTATCGGACTAAGGGACACTGCAAAGTGGCGTTTCCCAGGGATGGGTATTAGCACCCCATTCCCCTGATATATGCTAATAACCCAGATCTTGACATATAAGGCAAAATTTCAAAATATGTGGATGATACAAAACTGGGAAGTATTATAAGCCATGAGGAGTATACCCTAGAACTTTAAAAGGACATAAACAGCTGGTGGAATGGACAAAATGTTGATGAAATTTATTGTGGAGAAGTGTGAAGTGATACATTTTGGTAGAGTGAATACACAGGGATGATATAGAATGAAGGGTACAAATTTAAATCAGTGACCTTGGTCTATATACAATAAATTCCCTTTCTCGAAAATCAAGAATCATGAATTTGGCTATCCGGGCCAAAAAGTAAAAACAAGGTTCAACATTCATGGACAAAGCTCGCATATCTGCAATTTGTAACTTATTTTTAACCTACTTTTAAATGAGCTTAACGCACGAATTTCATCATTCACAGGGTTCTCAGGAATGGAACCCTCACGATAAGCAGGAATGATTGTGTGCATAAACTATTGAAGGTGGCAAAACAATGGAGGGAGGAGTGGCAGATGGAGTTAATTTAGATAAATGTGAGATGTTGCATTTTTGTAAGGCAAACCAGGGCAGGGCTTATACACTTAATGTTGGGGCCCTAACAATTGTTGCCAATCAAAGAGATGTGGGGTGCAGGTGCATAGTTCCTTGAACATGGAGTCGCAGGTAGACAGGGTGGTGAAGAAGACATTTGGTATGCTTTCCTTCATTGGTCAGAACATTGAATTTAGGGGTTGGGATGTCGTGGCTGTACAAGACATTGTTTCGGCCATCTTTCGAATACTGCGTACGATTCTGGTAACTCTTCTATAGGAGGATGTTGTTAAAATTGAGAGGGTGAAGAAAAGGTTTACAAGGATGTTGCCAGGACTGGAGGGTTTAAGTTAAAGGGAGAGGCTGAATAGGGGCTTTTTCTCCCTGGACCATCAGAGGCTGAGGGGTGACCTTATATCATGAGGGGCATGGGGTCAATAGCCAATGACTAGGGTGAATAACCAGGGTGGGTGAGTCCAAAACTATAGGGGAAAGATTTAAAGTGAGAGGAGAAAGATTTAAAAAGAACATGAGGGGTAACTGAGGGTGGTGCGTGTATAGAACATGCTGCCAGAGGAAGTGGTAGAGGCACATACAATTACAACATTTAAAAGGCATTTGGATGGGTACATGAATAAGAAGAGTTTCAAGGGATATGGGCTAAATGCTAGCAAATTGGACTAGGTCAGTTGAACCAAAGGTCCGTTTCCATGTAGTATGACTCTAAGTTGACTGAGTGATTAGTAAAGTATACAACATCCTGCAATTTAGTAAAAGAAGCATCGAGTAAAAAAGCAATGAATTTATATTAATCCAACATAAATATTAGTTCAGGCTCATCCGGAATATTGCATCTAGTTCTGGGCAGCACATATTGGGAAGCTAATGTTTTCACAAGATTGGTTTCAGAGATGAATAACTTTAGTTATGTAGAAAGATAAGAGGTGTTGGGCTTGTTCTTATTGGCGAGGAGAAGCTTGAGAGGAGATTTGATAGAGATATTCAAAATCATGAGGGTCTTTGATGGAAGGATCAAGATCCAAAAGAGCACATATTTAACGTATCGTATATCACGACATATAAATCGATTTGATGTCTAAGATGACCCCATTTTCCAGCTCTGAGAATTGTGTTTATGCATGTACAGGGAGTATAGATCTTCCAACCTAGACAAGCTGTGCTTACATGCATAGTCAACTTCAGTTTTTGCACCTATAAATGCATGTTTTATTTACCTTATAACTGGGCAGAAGGGCTGGAGCAGGGGATATGTATTATGAAAATGCATGAGAGTTTAAGACACAGCGACACAGAGAA